ATCCAAGACATATATTTGGAATATGAAAGTTTAATCCTACTCATTAAAACATGACAAACTTATAATTAATTGAGAATGGAGTCAATAATGAGAACATCCTTCAACGTAATGATGTTGGTACTATCAGCTTGTAATATGGGAATACACTGTAGAAAATGAAGCATAATATGGAAAAATTACAAGCCAGTTTAAAAAAAGAACAGCCTGAAAGTTTTGCCTTGAGTAGAATCTTTAAAACGCAAATTTTAAATCCTCAAAAGTTACATTTTTCCAGTCTTCAAATGAGACAATACATTATGTTGTTTTCCTGTGATGAGGAATAATTCAAGGTCTTACATTGTCTGATTAATCTCTCAACCAATATTTAGAAAAGGTTTCTCTTTGAGCTAATCAAACTTGACAAAAGCAATCTTCAAACTATGCCACATTCACTGATTTGTAAGATATTTCAAACTTGTGTTTTATTAAATGCAGTTTAAATTAGCAACAGCTCTGAATTCACCTGCACATGACACCCCCTGAATCTCACCAACAGTATATAATGTAGGCAAAAAGACTGCACATGCAGATTAAAATTATTAGGACAAGCTGGTTGTTTTGGGTTTTTTTTAAGAAGGATGCAGTTTTAGTTTGAAGATAGCATTCCCTATTGCTCACACTATATTGCATTTTGGGGGATAGTTGCTGATGGCATTCAGTTTACTTTTTCTGGAGATAATTGCCTTGATTGTACTGGGTAAGGTCTCCCCAGTGATGTCTCTAAATAATGCTTATTTCTTTATCCACAGAAAGAGGCTAAATTTCAATATACAATCTTATGACTTTCTTTGGCTTTCAGTATCAAACAGTATCATTAGGTTAAAGGACATCATTCCAGAAGAGCAATGTTTTGAAGAGAACAACTAGTAAGGAAGCACTACAACACTGCCAGGTAGGGATCACTGTGGGGAAGCGCATACACACCATCCCAGTCTTCACCTTCACTAACAGTGTTGGTAGTTTCCTTTCTTTCTGTGAGTGGCCATAAGTGTGCAAACTGGATTTTTCCACAGTTTGGGAATGTGTTTAAATTTGGTTGGCTGACTCTGAGCACTAAAAGAGATTCCTGAGTTAGCACAGCTAAGCATGAGGGGGAAAAAACTGTGGGAGAGACATAAGTATTAATTCCCTACTGCGAATGTTCCAAGAGGAAATCAGGCTTCTGGCTCATTCTTCCTCTGAAGTCCCACTGAAGTTCTGGTTAAAAAGTTTCTGAGCTACTGACTCCCCTCTATTTTTTCCTCGTGGTTGTGTGCAACCGAGAAACGGCATTTCTGGCAATAGTTATGATAAAATAACACAATGCTGCATTAACAAAGCCTCACGTGTCTTAGAAGTTGCTATTGCAAATCTTTTTGCGACTCAAGGAAGGATATTCAAATATTGGGTAACACACTCTGACTGGGAGGACTATCAATAGAGTTTCTCAACTTGTTTATATAAATGGGCCAACACTTCTAAAAGCACTTCAGAGCACTTAACTAAAGCAAACAAGCACTTGAACTTTAAATATCTAGCAAGAGAAGTCATTGACAAGTATGACTTGACTTAGTAAATTCTAATATCTTTGCAACCTTTCATTCATACAGTCTCTTTGTGAAGAGAAGCACCAGGCTCCCATCTCAACTTCAGCTCTGCTCTAAGATAAAGAATGAGTGGGGTGAGGAACAGCCTAGTCCCCTTTTTAGTTCTTTTTGTTAAAGCAAACAGCTTTGCTTCTTCCTATACAGGGACCCTGGGTCCACAATAGTCTTCATAGAGCAGCTTCCTGATTTTGAAAACTTATTCTCTCTCATATTTGGCCCTAAAAGTAGGATTACTTTATCTTATAAACTTCATTTTCCCTGATATCCATGACAGCAAAGCCTTGATTTGGGAATATAACTTCTACCAAACACCATCCTACCAATTCCCAAAAGGTCTGGGAATAACTTTCTACACTCAGGGCTAGAATGCCTTTGGTAAGTGGTCTCATCATGGTGCCAGTGTCACGTGCATTTTTTTTATCTTCATATTTATGACACACCTCTTCCTAGCTCTACTGCATTATTGACAAGCACAGCAGTCATTTCCTGACCGAATTAGTGCGATCTGATTCACATACAGTTCTCTGCTGACAAACCAGCACCCAAATGAGTAAAACAAAAGATTATTCTGGAGTTTCAGGGTTGTTTTTAAACTGATGTCTAGCTCAAGTACTAAGTTTTCCCCTAGAACCAAGAAGGTAGTGTTTAAAACAATCAGTAGCAGGTAAATCTCATTCCCTAAAATCCTGCAATGTATCTCAATTTTTATTTCTCTCTGAATGTGTTTTGCACACAGTCTGTACAATGTGGCAGAAAAGAGGTGGCAGAAAAAACCTTTCTAAGATCGTCTTCACCATCTTAGAAAAAGGAAATAAACTATTTTTAAGGTATATTCTAAAGCCCAATGGCCACATTGGGATTTTAGTTCGTTAGTTTTAGGGGACATGAAGCATGTTCTGGAACTGGTTGCTGGGATTTGTACTGATTAGTCTGAACATTCTCAAAACAATATTTTGGTAAAAAAAAACAAACCCACAGTTGATACAGTTGAAAATATGAACTACTCAGTGCTAAAGCTACAGACTATGCACAATTCCTAAAAGAAATAGCTTTGAAAACTCTTTGAAATACCATGCTAGTCATAATTGGGTTTTAATGTATAAAACGGCTCAGTAATTTAAATGTTTGGAAAAGAAAACAGTCTTTCCTAGGGTTTATGAAGTGATAAGTCTATTTCTTAGAATGATTAACTATGCAACCTGATTTTGAACATGAGCATCTCCTAGCATATGCTCTCCACAGCTGACACTGTGAGAGCATACAGTTTTACCAAATTAATATTCCAGGACCCAATTCTGATATCAAACTCTCATTCCTAACCTCCCCGCCTTGAGTAAGTGCTTTGGTTTCTGCAGAAGTAATTTGAATTCCTATTCTTAAACAAGTGAAATCAGAATTAAGCTCTGCTCCTCATGTATTTGGGTCTACTGAGTGACAAATTAGATTTGTATGTACAGGATGCATATCATGACATTTCCACTAAAAACTTAAAAAAAAAAAAAAACCAAAAAAACCACCAAAACAAAAATAACCCCAAATACAGAAAATTAATGACATTCAAGGACAATACAATACTCATTCACTTATAGAAAATTTTTAGCAGCAGATGCATATTAGGAAAACAGATGAAGTACAGGCAGGACAGCATAAAGAATGCTTTTGGGGAAGAATGTCCCAAATAATGTCCCATTTTAGAACAATGATAAAACAAGACTATGACAAAAGAAAATGCAATTCAGGTTTGAACTCACTGCAAATAACTAACAAAATCTAATAATTTAGAAAGTCCTTAAAGAGCCCATAGCTTTGGTAGAAATGAATTAAATGGTGAGGTGAATTTAAAGAATAAAAGAATAAACTTAGACAAGATGACCTGAGAGAGAAAAAGAGACAAAAGCAGTGAAAAGAAACAGACCCAGGGAAAGTACTACTTCATTCTAATAATAGATTCATCAACAGAATATCTGTATGCACTAACACCTAATTTGAGCATCCTGAATTCTGATCCTGATTTCTTGAGATGGCAACTACAATATTAAAAAAAAAAAAAATACTTAAATTGCTCATTACTAGAAATAGATTGATTTGCATGAGAAAAATGCAGATTTAAGATTCCCATTTCGTTTACGAATATTAAGATCCTAAAATAAAGTCTGAAAGTAAGTCCTAACTCCCAGGCTAACACTTCCCTCCTGTTGGTGACAGCGTCATTGCCCCTGGGACCTGGGAAATGCCGTATGTGGTGGCCACAGGGAATAGAATGTTTGTGTGAGCCCAGAAAACCTGAACAAGGGCTCAGGAGACGAGTGTGAGAACTTCCAATTCTGTCTGGTATTCCAAGACAAACAAACAGAGAAACATCCAAGTGGGAAACACCATCAATAGCAAAAGGCCTGACTTTACTTATGCCCACCTGAACAAAAGCTGTAGGCATGCTCAACTTTTCTCTTTCTCACTAACTTTCTTATCTCCAGGAAAACTTGCTGGTGTACATGGCCAGCTACTTTGTTTATTTTTAAGTATGTAAATGTAAAGTTGACTAAAGACACATGAGTTTACCCTGGTGCAGAAGACAACTGCCAGAGTAATCCAATGGGGTACATTTGGCACAAAATAAAGGCTGATGTCCTTCAGTAAGCACATTTCAAATTGCTTACTGGTTTTAGGTTTTAAATTGCTTACTAAATACTAACTTTAGTTATATTTGGGTTGGGTTTTTTGGGGGGATGGGGGGAGAGAGAGGGGAGTGGATGGTATTAAATTGAATAGAAACCAATCACCAGAGTATTAGAAAAACAGCAGTTAATTTACCTGCTGCTCTAGAGAATAGCTTGGGAATATAAATTTTAGCTTTCCCATACCTACAGCTCTAAGCTAAACATTGGGTTGTCTGAATTGTCCTCATTCCCTGAACACTACATGTGAGAACTCTTAATTTTGTGTTCTTAAGCAGAGTTGCTTATATAGTTAAGAGCCACCTTAATGTTCCTCAAAACTATTTTGAAGTACGAGACAACCCTTCGTTTTGAAGGTAAGAGTCTTTCAACTTCTCCCATCCATAAGTGTCTAACATGTTTCCCTTTTAAACTTACACTGAACACTCAGAGCAGCCAAAACACATTTTTTAACATCACTAAAACGCTGTCTCTGATGACCCTGGGACTCTAGCAGAGCTCAAGTGCAGGACCAAAATCTGAAAGGTTGGTTTAAAGATTTAGCCTGAGCCCTTGCTGCACCTGAAGGGACACACTTCAGGAGGCAAACACCCCTCCCACTGCTGGCTGCGGTCTCCCACCCCCCAGCAGCTGTGGCGTGCTCGTTCCACCAAAAATCGCAGAGGAGAGGGAGCGAACCCCCTTCATGGACTCACCATCCTTTTCTAGTCACATTCACTACGCATTGCATTAGAAAATCGTAACGGTGTTAAAATATTTTGGCAGGATTTGTTATGGCCAGATCACTCACTTCCTTTGGGACACACAAAGCCTCCTCTGGCAATGAAACAGCCCAAATGTCAGCAAATCCTATAGAACAGAAAACGGTCTGTCAATGTAGAGCCTAAATGAATCTCCAGTTAAGCAAAACAAAACAAAACTGTATAACATAAAAATGCACATACAGAAAAAAAAAAAAAAACAACCTAGAAATATTCACTTTTTATTAAGGTTTCTTTTTTTTTTTTTTTTTTTTTTTAACCCCTCCAGAAACTTTTGAACAGCATTACAATGAATTCATCACAAGCTGCTATTAGAGCACAAGCTCCCTCCAAGTGTTACCAATTCACGGACAGATTAGAGGGCACATTAATAACATAGTTAATATGAAGTGTTTAGAGCCTTTACGTCGGTGACAAATACGACTCAGCCAAATTTCCTGACCATTGAGGCCACGGAGGAACAATTTGGTAGATTTCATCAACAGTTCTAATTATGTTCCTGTCAAGTCGAGAACAAAGTAATCCATAACTGGGGGGCTGCTTGGAGACAGTGCCACGTGAGAGTAATTTATGCCCAGGGCCCTCGCTGTAGTTAGTGTGCACAACGCTTGACTAACAAGTGGGTTCAAAAAAAGGAATTTATTAGGGAAAACACAGCCCTCCAGCTCCGAGCAGCTCATCAGGTGCAGGCTTAGCAGGAGTTATGAGGCAAAGTCTTCTTGTTTATAAAAACATCTAAATTTCACACTGGCCTCAGCAGGTTTTAAACCACAGGATTTTAACCCAAGGCTTCTGCTGAAGCTAGGTAAGCCCACTGCCAAGGCCAGGGTGCAACCCAGCACCCTTCAAAATCATCTTAGTCCTTGGGACAGTGGCAGTACCAGTACTCAGAGGCCAAGTGGTACTAATGCCCTTCTGCAATCCTATAAATAACACACTAATGAAAGATGCAAAGGGATTATTAGTAACAGTAAACTAAAATGTCACAATACACGACGCGTTTCTTACCACAGCCCAACTGGGAAACAGGCTGAGAAAGGGAAAGGGAGGGGAAGAAGGTGAATGGGGGAGAAGCTGTCATGTAATTTTGAGTCATTTTCCACTGTGATCTATATTGGGATACGGCTTCTATCCTTTCAAACAGGATCATTTTATACATGACACTCTTGCTGCATTTCACAAAAAGGCAAGAATGTCTCCCTAGTGCTCAAAGTGCAAAGCCTGGCAGCGGTCACTCAGGATCAGTTACTTGCACATGCAGTGAGATGTTACAGAAAGTAAAATGATGCATTCCAAATGTATTTAAGAGCATTGTCTGTAACCAGAAGGCAAAATAACATTAGAAAAAAATTAGGTCCATGTGAGAAACACGAAATACTTCATGTGTTTAAAGCATAGTTTTCTGAATGTAGCTGTGGGCACACACTGCTGTCAGCAGTTACAGGTTTTTATTTACCACACATTTGGTCCACAGCATAAGTGGACCAGACACCAGCTTGGATAAAGGGAGTGGTCAGACCAAAGTCCTGTTTCAGACTGATTCTCTGTGCGGCCCCAGGAAGGCTGACTTCTTCACCCACATTTCCCTCTGCTAGAATAGGTGCAGGTATGCAGATTTATACCCACATGACATATCTTGCCAGTGGATTTTTGACTATAAAAATGTGACTTGCTTCACTAAACTAGTCATTTGAGTTTTAAATTACTAGTTAACCACTGGCACAGAGGAAACACGGAATGCAGCAGGACATCAAACCCCTCACCTTTTCCTTTCACAATCGACTAAAGTTTCTTATCCAGATTTGCTTGAACCTGTAAATTCTCTAGCATCAAGTCTAGGGACTTTCCCAGCACCTACTGAGTAGGACAGGATTAGTCTCATATGACTGAAGCTTCACAGATTTATGATTACTTCCTCCAAAGGACGAAAGAAAAAAAAACATTTTAAAAGCAGTGGTAGCTTTGCAAAGAGGCAAAGAGGAAAGGGAAGAACGTAGTCCCATTCTGCAGATGTGAAAAGGGAAACCTCTCTTTAAGTCAGAGAAACAGTAATTCAGAAGCCAAGCAATGCCTGGATGTTCTAATTCCCAGACTCGTGATTCAGTCACAAGACATGCTTCTTTTCCTGGTGAAATGTCATGCTGCCGCATGCTTCTGTTACAGAACACATCCTAACCAAGTGTAGCAAAAGCATGATGATCCCATTAAGTATCTAACATCTAATACCTTGTGAAAACTAATTTAGTGCTTTATCAAATCTCTAGTTTGTATGTAGAGCATAAACTGGCTACATTTGCTAATAGGGCAGATTGACCCGTCCCATATATTATCAAACCACATCAAAGTCTGCTGGAGGACATAGCCTTAGCTACTTATTATCCCTTGCATTAACTCTCACTAGCTACTCAACCAATATATTTTCTTGTAATACATCTGTCATGATTTTGCAGGGAAATCAGCAATTCTGAACAGTGCAGCAGTTAGATAACAGGACTAAACCCATCATGGTCGCCTGGCTTTCCAATCTACTGCTAATTGGCATGGACAGAAGCCCTTAGAGCTGGGCTTGCACAACAGCACAGCACTGCTGGGCCCTAGAGATTCGGCCTCTTAGTTAGATTCGTATTTTTAGAGCTTGAGTCATTCTCATGATTTCTTCACGATTTATTACATGCAAGAGAAATAAAGCTGGATGCCAACACCTCCAAATTTACAAGATTATTTTTTTCTTCCTTTTGGCAAAAAAAAGGTTGTCTTTTGCAAGAGAACATGTGGCTTAGTAATCAGGGAAAAAAGTGCTAGAATATTAGTAACAATAATGTTAGCAATATTAGATACAATGAGAACATCTTTCTTGGCTTGGATGCTTCGCAATCGTATTCCCACGTGTTTATTTAGGGTCTTTCTTGTGACACTGTGTAATGAATTATATATCTGAAGCCATGTCTCTAACTTCTGGGAACTTGCATATATGGCTAATAGAGGGTCTGGATGGATGTTTTGTTTTAAATTAACAATTGCTACTATTTTCTGATAGATAGTGTTTGTCTTCAGACTTGGAAACCCCAAGCCATCATACATGGGTCTCTTTCTGACCTTTCTGACCATTTGACTACCTGTCATCACTGGAACCCAGAAGTTAGTGGTGGAACATGAAAAATTAACTAAAATAGCAAAATACTGCCTCTTCAAATAGAAATCCACCCAACAGAAATAAAAGATTCTTTCACTTTGCATATGTGATTGTATGTAGTTCTGAAAAACAATTATATCCATAATATAACCCTAGCTGTCCACATTTAATCTGATGTTTATTTTCTCCTTTTACGTCTTCTCAAGCACTGTCATCTTCTTTTCCCTTATAACTGCTGTCTTTAAACACTAATGTAAACAAGTAAAAGGCATTTAGGGGGGCACGAGGGGGTATTATTAGGTGGTTTGTATAGTTTCTTGGTGATCCCTGATCCCGTTGTTGATGGATCATTTTTAATCCAGAGAATATTAAAAACTGCTTACAGTCCAGCTGTGGTTTAGTATCACCAACAAAAGCAGGCCAGTACAGTAGTTTTTCTACAGAGTAAAACTTCTAACCAGTAAACTTTCAGCCAGGGAGAATAAATTAGACAACAACAACAACAAAAAGGCGGGCGGTGAGTTAAAACATCGCAATTCTGTGTTACTGAAAAGAACTACAAGTCTTTGGAGCTTCATCCCACCCCCCTTTCCTTTCCCTCTGTATTTTTCTTCTTCTGTTTTTACGCTGAAATCACAGGAACTACGCAGCCTAGCAAGGCTGTAATCACTCAGCAGGAACCTGGCACAAGCACAATGCAACCACCAGCCAGGCAGCAGGAAACTGAAGGAAATCTCTCTCTCCCTCCCCCCCAGGTTTCTTAAAAGGGGCTCGGCGTGAATGAATCTTCCCGGTAGCCACCAACAATTTCTTATTCCTTCCGAGCAATCATCAATTTCAGCATCAAGTGGTTTAGTGGCTCTACAACTGGTAGTGGCAGCGGAGTAAGCTCAGCATGCAAACGTTTTGGCTAATTTAAAACCCTTGTGCTGCCGAATCAAACATGACAAGACAACAGTAAAAAGAGAGGCTATTATCCCAAATGAGAGTCGGCGGATGGCTGAAATTGGCTTGAGTGGCAGAGACAAAAGAGGTGGAAGGAGCAGGCACGATAACAGCAGATACAGCGTGCACTTTCTTCCCCACCCCCAGTGCCTTCACACATATCCCACCTGGAGGAAACAACACAACATTTCCAAGTTTCGTGGCCAGGCAGAAAAAATGCACTTAAGAAGATTCAAAATAAATTAATATCTGGGAAAGCATCTGCCCTATGGATAAGGGGAAATGTAACTTAAGAAACATCAGCCTTTCAATAGGAACCCTGAAACTTTGAAAACAAAAACCTGTCATTTCCTACCTGAATTCACGTCCTGCCGCCCCAAGTTAATTTCCATGAGTTGAGAAGCAACTGAGTTAGGACAGAATAACTTCAAAACGGGAATAATCTGTGGCGTGGCTACTGGTGAATAGCTGTGACATACAACAAGCTCATGAAGAGCCCAGATCTCAAAGAGCTGCTGGGGAGGAAACGTGGAGGGCAGAGGAATTAATTTTGCAAGGCAATTGGGAGACCACAAGCATTCTCATGATGTTGAGAGCCATGAACCCTGGTGATGGCTTGCAGCTCACAGAATGATGACCTGTGGGATCACTGGAGAGCAAGCAAGTTGTCTTTTGCAAGATTAACAATTTAAAAGTGCTGAAATTAATTTTGTTTAATAGCTGTGGGTGCAGACTCCTTACAAAGTAGGTTGCAAGGTCAGCAAGCCTCCTAAAGCCTTTTAAAATGCAGCTTTTTATAGGGACAGTAGATTTAGGGTGGCTTAGGGCTTAAAGATCTAAAAACCAAAAAAAAAAAAAAAAGGTAAGAGGTCATTTCCTACCATTCCCAAATCTTGGGTGAAGACACATTCTCTGTTTTGCTTCTCACTATGGCATACACTTATTGGTATATGCAAAGCTACTTGAGGCAGTATGGGTTTCTTAGGGTAGGCAAAGTGAAAAAAGACATT